GTAATGAAGAATTTGTTGTTTCCATAGATTGGGAAATGCATTTTTAATTTGGTCAATGCATCAGTAGTAGGTGAGAGATTATAAACTTTTAACTATTTATGTTGATTGTCTTCTTCTCAAGAAAGCCCGAGCTTGTTCTATACAAAAGGTTCATTGTATAGCTTACGATTTCCTCGACCATTTGACAACAAAATATACACAATAAACTACAGTTATAACAACAATGTCATATTAAATCATCAAACCCTTTATCTTTAGATAATGTTTTGTATGACTCCATGAGAAAGACTTCAAACTAAAAGATAATGCTATGGATATATTTAGTCTAAGATGAATTATAGTTAATGATGTGTTTGTAGAGACTATTCAGAATGTAGCTTCAAGTTAATAGGAAAAATAATCATTTTTTTTAAGGTTGAAAGATATTATACATTATTTGACTGTGAAAAGTGTATTAGGTGAAGATATAGAGAGATTTGTGACCATTGGTATTATTATTGATTATTTCCCTATTCCGTATGAAAATTCAATTCTTGTAGAAGATACATCAATTACACAAAAACTTTTATTATCCTACTAATTAGAAAGACCAACAATATTGAAGTGTGTTGACATAAAAATTGCATCATAATGTGTACTGATATTGTAATGACAAATTCAGCTTTTCTCATAACCTTCACTCAATTGGTATATTCTAGATGTATAAAACGTCAAACAAAAATTGTAGATGCATAAAACGTCAAACAAAAATTAAAGAATCCATCTTCGTAAATAGGAGTTATTGTGTACGCAATAGATAATTCAATTTTATATATCATAGTTAGCCTCTTTTTTTTTGTAGATTTGATGCTCCTTATGAACCTCTTTTTATTTTAATTGGTAAAAGCCTTTTTTCTTTTTCTAGTGGCGCATGACCATCATCTTTAATTAAAAGCATTTTATTATTATTTGTAATTAGGATATAGAAGACAAAATACAAGTTCAATTTTTTTTAATCTTGAAATGTAAGGATCAATTATAATGTTAACTTTCTGTTAATAAAATGCCAAATAACAGATAATGTATGGTTCTTTTGTTTGAAAGCAGATTGAAAAGTTCAAAATTTCTTAGGTGGTGTGCGAAAGAAATAAAAAAGTTAAACAAAACGAAGGGCGTTTAACAGTGCATGATTATCTCATGGGAAATAAAACTAAAGAGGTTGTTAAGAAATACTAGAATGAAGGACACAGAGGAACGCGATGCCGCTGACCGTAAAGAGATTCGTCGTCACTCGATGAGTTTGGTTGGTGGACATTTAAAGGCACGATAGAGACACCACGAACCTTCTTCATGCCATTACACCGTCGCAACAAAAAGAGTTTCTCTTAATAAAAGAAAAAAAAAACACACATTCTAATTTTCATAAGACTTTTATTTTAATCCCAATCAATCTATGGTTTAAATAAAATTACATATTATAATATTATATATATTCGGTATCTTCGTGATTCTCCCATATATAAAAAATAAAAAAAATAAGTTATGTACATTATTTTCTGAAATCACGAACAAAACCGTGATAAACTAAAATTCAAAATAAATAATATCTTAAAAGTAATAATGATCTTTAACTATAATATTATTGTGAATATAAAATTGAAATTATCTTATTTCTAGATAAAATATTAATATTTATGATGATATTAAATAAAGTTTTGCTTCATTTATAAGAGTTTTAGATAAATTAGAAGTTAAAACTAATTACTCATACTCTTTAATTCTGAGTTGAAAGCTTATGTGTTTTTATACATTTGTGAGTCTTACATAACTCAAAAATCATGGTAGTTTATATATACATATTATTTTCTTAACTTACCAAAATTCGTTTTTAAAACAAAATAATGATGTACTAAAGTTTCATGAGTAAATAATATTGTTTATAAAATAATTGATTCAAATAATATTATCATAATATACATAAAATTGAATCTCTTTCCTTTATAAATATATATATATATATATATATATATATATATATATATATATTAATTAGGTTTAGAAAATTAAGCCTTAACCATATTATATTTAACATTATAGTTTTCATTTCAAGTCGTAATGTTTATCCCTAGTTAGAACGTTATAAAAAAAAATTATCCAACGTTTCCCTTAATATAGGTATTCGGTCCCATGCTAAAGGGTGGGTAAGTTATATCTACATGAGAATAAAAAGTTAAGTAAATGTAATTTAAAACGTATATAAGAATACATAGTTTTTCGATGAATTACACTTTGAAAAAGAATATAAAACCATAACTTGAAACAAGTACCCTTAGTAATAATAGGTTATATTGATGCTTAAATTACCTAGAAATTTTTTTAAAATTAAAGTTAAGTCAAGCTTATCATATATTTGACTTTGGACTACAAACATAATTGCAAATGAAAACTTTTTTTTCTTTCTTTAAAACTCGAAGTATTAATTTCTAGAGTTATTGATTTGTTTATTTTCTTTTTTTATTATTAATTTTGTTTTTAATTTATAATTATTAATCAATTATTTTATTTTTTTATTTAATATTTTTATCAATTATCTTAACGAAATTGGGTGATAATAAACTAACTAATATCTAAAATACAATTTGTAAGAACTTATCAAACCAATAAAACAACACAATTTCATATAATAACTAAAATTAATTAAGAAAAATTTAAGCCGAATTTAATATTTTGTTTGGTATGAATTAAAAAAATGATGAAACTTCTTGAAAGCTAAGAAAATTTATAATTTATATGTATATTTATAATTTTAGTGTTTAAATTTAATAATTATTAAATATATTAAATAAGAAAATATTTTATATATTTTTATCTTGTTTATTATTTATTAATAATAAATTATTAATTTTAAAATTATTTTTCACGATACGAAAAACAACAATGGGTACTAAAAATATTTTATTTAATTAGTTTTATTAAAATAATCTTATTTTCTTCCTCACTTTTGTCGAGAATAAATATTTCATTGAAGACTAAAAACGAAAAACATAAGAAAATCGCTGAATTTTTAAGGCTGTGGTCATTATAGGATAGAGATAGTATCCTGTACAGCATTAATTTCTACGCACATTGCACCATAATCAAATATCCCTGAGTAAAACTTTTGTTTCATATTAAAAAATATATATATTTAGTCATTTTATTATCACAAATCTTCTTTAGATTTTGACAAAGAGAAATCTCCATTAAAATTCGTATACTTCAGCTCATATATCTTCCTGTTTGATGTTTTCATTTAAATAACATGATTACTTATTACTCTTTTTTTAAGTGATAGTTATGTGTAATCAGAAAATGCATCTCTCTAGCTTATTTAACCACGAGGGTGTAACTTAGTGCCAAACAATTAAAAGAAAATTAATATATATATATTAAGAATTATATTCTTAACCTTTTTTATTTTTAGTTACTCATTTAAAGACAATCAATGTAAGGAAATAAATATTTATATACATGTAAAAAATTTAAATTTTGTTTAACTTCCTTCAATCATGTTTAATTACAAAAATCATCTTGAACATAAAAATTCCCATTAATTTTAATTTTTGTTATCTTAATATTTATAGAGTCGGTGGTATCAAATCATTTCCAAAAATCAACATTCTCAAAATAATATTTAAATTTTGTTTGATTGGTCAAAATTATTATTCAGAATATTTATTTAATTAAAAAATACAAAAGGTAATATGTTATTTTTACTAATTTTTTAGTTTTTCCAAGTATTTGATAAGTGTGAGGAGATATTTTTGTAGTAAAATTTGTATTTTAACTGAACAAAAATTATATTCCCACTTTTGTATGGGATTAATGGTTTGTTGCGAGAACTTGATAAAAACTATTCATAAGAACGATTGTTTACTGAAAATGTTATCTTTTAAGAGGTAAATTAAGATTTTAAAATTAGATAATCAGGATTTCTTTAAAGAAAAATCTTGTAACAAACGCTAATTTAAAATTTTCATATTCAATTAGAATATAGTTGTGAATAAGCTTTGACTAACATAACTTTCATATAAAAAATGGTGGGCCATGACAAGGGGTGTAGAAAGCAAAGGAGAAGAGAAATATTAGTTAAAATAGTGACACAAAAATAAAGAGAGAAAGTATGTACAATTAATTTAGTATTAGGCAAATCAAATGTCATGTGCCGGGAAAATTAAGGCAAATGATTATAACGTTCTTAATTCGTGTGATTTCCATAATGTTTTATTTTGATATTCCCACCCTACCTTACGAAGGTGTTGTCCATTTTATATAAACCACACACTCGTGGTTGTGGCTGCATAACTTGGTACTAACACTTGCCTCAGCATTGGAAGGGCAAACACAAAACACATTATAAAAAGCCATTCGAGAGAGAGAATCGAAGCACCCTCAGAGAGAAGAGAACCTCTAAAAACAAAAATAAAAACATTCTCTCCCACTCTTCCCCATTAGCTCTTCATTTCTTCATTTCTTCATTTTTTGTCTTTTTCTTCTTCTTTTCTTTTGGTTGGTTTGTTCCTTTTGTTTCACGTTCTCTTTGCTCTCTGATTCCGCATTTTGTGCATGCGGTGTTCTACTTCTCTCTTGGTTTCATTGCTGAAGCAAAACAGGATTTGTCACAACTGTTGTGGTCTCCCATTTCAGGAGAAACACTCATTGGTATAGAGCTTGTTAAAAGCAAAAAAAGAAAGAAAAAAAAAAAAAAGTGTTTGAGATCTGGCATGTTATCCTTTTCTCTCTAGCTTTCTTTGTGGGGAGTGTTTGTGCTAGAGTGACTGACTGACATTCCAGCTCTGCTTCCTTTGTTTTGCGTGGCCCAGAAGCAAAACAACAATCACGAAAAGAAAAATATTCCATTGAAGTGATTCTTTTAAACCCTTTTGGATCTACCACTCACACCTTGAGCTTGGCCTAGCTTTGCTTCATATTCCTCATCACTCTCTTTTGTTCTTCTGACACCAAGTTTCAAAACGGTTCCAATGGATCGCCTTTCTTCCAGTACCATTATCCCTGAAGCGTTCCAAGGCGCCAAAGATGACCTCACCATGCAACTTGCATTGGTTTGGAATCAAATCAAAGCGCCATTGATTGTCCCCTTGCTGAGACTAGCAGTGTTTCTGTGCTTGATCATGTCAGTGATGATGTTCATTGAGAGGGTCTACATGGGCGTTGTCATCACTCTGGTGAAGATGTTTGGGAGAAAGCCCGAGAAACGTTACAAATGGGAGCCAATGAAGGACGACATAGAGTTGGGAAACTCTTCTTACCCAATGGTCCTCGTTCAAGTCCCCATGTACAACGAAAGAGAGGTACTTACTACACACCACTTAGCTTTTCTTCATCACTTTCAACTCTTATAATTATGTACAACACTTTCGACTTTTGAGCCTCGATCTTAGTTACTTTCCCTTGCTTCTAAATGCAGGTTTACCAGCTCTCAATTGGAGCTGCGTGTGGACTTTCTTGGCCTTCAGATAGGATCATCGTACAAGTCCTTGATGACTCCACTGACCCAACAATCAAGGTTAGCATTAAAAGTCATATGGTTGTTAGTTAACAATGTTAATTCCATGTGAATGATGTTACTATGCTGGGAACATAAAAAGCCTGGATTGGACACACATGGATGATGTGATTGTTTTTTGGGGGCATTCTGAATCATTTGGGGTGACTAAACAAATGCAGGAGTTGGTACAGCTTGAATGTCAGAGATGGGCAAGCAAAGGGGTGAACATAAAGTATGAGGTGAGAGACAACAGGAATGGGTACAAAGCAGGGGCTCTCAAAGAAGGCATGAAGCGTAGCTACGTGAAACAATGTGATTGTGTTGCAATCTTTGACGCTGATTTTCAACCAGAGCCTGATTTCTTGTGGCGCACCGTTCCATTCTTATTGCACAATCCCGAACTAGCCCTCATTCAAGCGCGGTGGAAATTTGGTAATCTATTATTTTTGTTTTTATGTTGAGTTGAGTCTGTCTTAATTAACTCTTAACATTCAACATCAGCAATCACAGGGACAACAACCCTTGCTTAATTTAGATTTTGGGTTTTCTTGATGGCGGCTTTCCTTGGATTAATCAAGACTAGTATCTTAGATTAGATAGCGAGTCCTAAAATCATTACTTGTTCTTAAAAACTGTCGGTGGTTTTTTGTTTTGAACTTGTTTTCAAGAACTAGTTTGTTTGTTTGGTTGGGGTGGGGTTGGTCCCACTTTGTGGTTAAACGACCTTGTACACATCGCAGTCTGGCACCTTCAACTTTTGTGGTTGCCTTTGATTTAAGCCACGTACTCCTTTTCTTATCGTTTTTTCACTTCTTTGTGTCTGTGTGGCTCACTCCCTCCCAAAACTATAGTGCAGACTACAGGGAACCAGTGTTACTTCTCCTTTTCTTTTCTTTTTTTCTTTTCTTTTTTTAAGTTTCATTTCCGTGGTTTGATTTCTTTTGAGTTTTGTCCCGTGCTCTGGAAAAAAAGTTGGAATGGCAGATTGGTCTCTAACTTTACATTATTTTTGGGGACAGTCTGTCATGAAAAGTCATCTATGAACTGGTAGATGATTAACCATGATATAATAATAATGGTTGTCACATATATATTGTCCTTGCAAATGAATTCATTTATAGCTGAATAGGGTTTGGTTGTGTCATTTGTGTGGCCGAAAAGTGTGATAAAACACTGGAAGTCTGGACCACTGCTTAATGCGGAAAATGGTAGTTAAAATTTAGAGGTAAAAATGGATCTTTGACTGGATTAGTAAGTAACTAAGAAGGTCAAAATAAAATGTTTCAACAAACACAGAAATTTCACTCAGGAGCCCTTCTGTAACCCGAGTCTCAAGAGTTAGTATTTGACATCTCGTTCCTTAAATACTCATGTATTCTACAAAAAAAGAGATGATAATGTTTTAGAAAAATGTGTGTTCAATAGGTGACTTTCAAGAACGCTATAAATTCTAAAATGTGAACTGGTGAAGGGCCACACTCCACTGACATAAAGAGTAGTTTCAGGCATGAGGAGTGCCAATTTTTTTTTTATGCGGTGACTATTTTGTTTTTAGCTAGTAAATTGAATATTTGAGGGGTCCAAATATTATTATTGCTGATTTCTGCTACCAGATAGGAGGGCAATACTTGAAAGCTGCACTGCATACATGTTACATGTATACTTCAAAGGGTATTTCTGTCTTGTGAGAAACAACACCGTTGTTGATATTATTATGGTTGTTGTTGTCATCATTGTTCTTATTGTGCAACTTCATCTTCCTTTTTTCCCCCCTTACTTGTCTTCTGCTTCTTCCGGCCGTTGCATGTGCAAATTTAATGGTGGACCTTATCTCGTAGTCACTGTCTATCTCAATTAACCGACACCTGGATCTATTAATAACTCCTGCAAAATCAATTTAATTACATAATGCCATCGCAAATTTCATGCCAGCTAAGTTGTTGACGAAGCAATTTATTTTTATTTTATTGTGATTCCAGTGAATGCCGATGAATGTTTGATGACCAGAATGCAAGAGATGTCACTGGATTACCATTTTACTGTGGAACAAGAAGTGGGGTCTTCCACTTATGCGTTCTTTGGTTTCAACGGTAATATGATGCCAAATTTTTCACCTTTATATCTATCCATTTTCCTTTTAAGGAAAAAAAAAACAGGGATTTTTGTGCGATAGTGAAAGCTAGTTCTTGTTTTCTTGTGGCAGGAAGATTTAGATAATTTTTTATTTTGTGCTCTTTAAAATTACATTAGGGACTGCGGGAGTATGGAGAATTTCGGCTTTGAATGAGGCTGGTGGATGGAAGGATAGGACCACAGTGGAAGATATGGACTTGGCTGTGCGAGCCAGTCTCAAAGGATGGAAATTCTTATACTTGTCTGATTTGAAGGTTCTCTTTCTTCAAACTAACCTACCATATTTGATTATTTGAAATAAAGTCTATTGGAAGCTTACTTTATGAATATCTTTAATTTAGAAGAGTTAAATCGTTTTTAAAGATGTTAGTCTATCCATTTATAGTTTCCAAAACTTCATGGTTGTGAGAATTCATGTATTAGTGATCACTTCTACTTAGTAATACTTCATGTTTGTGTTGTGCGTGTCATACCAATTTGATTCTGATATGAGCCATTTGAGGAACACTATTCATTTGGGTACAGGTTAAAAATGAATTGCCAAGCACTTTCAAGGCCTACCGTTACCAACAGCACCGTTGGTCTTGTGGTCCAGCCAATCTTTTTAGGAAAATGGTCGTGGAGATCATAAACAACAAGGTAAGTTTGTTTTGTTTACTTGAGTAATCAGGAATATGAAGTAGCAGGACAACATGCTGAGTACTTCCAAATTTATTTGTATATGTCCATTGCAGAAAGTGTCATTGTGGAAGAAAATACATGTGATATACAGCTTCTTCTTTGTTCGGAAGGTCGTAGCACACATCAACACCTTTGTGTTCTACTGCATTGTATTGCCTGCAACAGTTTTGGTGCCTGAGGTTGTGGTCCCAAAGTGGGGAGCTGTCTATATCCCTTCTGTCATCACTATTCTAAATGCAGTTGGAACTCCAAGGTTTTGATTCCCCTCAAGTTTTGCTCTATTATCAAACGAAAAAAGTTTAAAAGAAAGAAACTTGTTTTACAAGTAAAACATTGTTGACTTTATTCATTCTGTTTTCTATGTTTCAGGTCACTCCATTTGCTGGTCTTCTGGATTCTTTTTGAGAATGTCATGTCTCTGCACCGAACAAAGGCAACGATTATTGGTCTACTAGAGGCTAGTCGAGTGAACGAATGGGTTGTCACTGAAAAACTTGGTGATGCTTTCAAGGCTAAAGCTGGAGGTAAAGCTCCTAAAAAGCCTCGATTCAAGATTGGAGACAGGTATGTACTATGAATGAGTGTTCTTGCCTATCTTATCTGACAACTTTCATTGTTTTCTAGAAGGTAAATGTTATATGATATTGAGTTGCTTACCTACATTTTTTTTGTGTGTGTTCAAATATCATCAGGATTCACTTGTTAGAACTTGGGGTCGCATTCTACCTCTTCTTTTGTGGCTGCTATGACGTTATTTTCGGGAAAAACCACTTCTTCATCTTCCTCTTTATCCAATCTCTTGCCTTCTTCATCATGGCTTTTGGATATGTTGGCACCATTGTTCCCAACTCTTAGAAGGACTTGCTATTTCTTCATTCGGCTACTTCAGCTTCCATGCCTTCATGTCAAAGTGTATTATACTGTTTTCAAACATAGTTCTGGCAAATTACAGCTTGTTAGTATAAAAGAAAGGGTGGTCATTCTTTAAGGTGTTGCATAATCAGAGTCAGTGACTCTAAAGAGTTAGTTTTCTTGTGAATATACTTCAAAGATATATAAGAAAATTACGGAAGTTCTTCTCATAAAAGGGAAGCATACAGAACAAGAACGCAGCAATCACGTGGCATCGATCCTCAGGAGCAAACATCTTTGATTGGATGGATTGTTTATAAGATTTTGTAGTTTTCTTTCTTCTTTCTTTAACCTTTCTTTACATTGTATTTGTTTGAAGAAATAAGCAACTTCAAGAAATGGGTTAATATACAGACTTCCATTTTGTATTTCCTACATAAACAACGAAGTTAACAACACTATACCAAAGAAAGTTAATAATCAAAATGGCCTCCTTTAAATGATGAAATAATTGAAGGGAAAATTCAATGGCTTTATCTCAAGAGTACCGAGTTAAAGGACATGAAATATGAGATATTTTCTAGTAGAAATTTACTTTTTATGCATTTGCTAAAGTCTGTTACAACTTTTACATCTCTCGTCATCAACAACAAAGTAAAATAATGACACAGATTTTCTCCTTCTCCATAGAACAAATAAAGGAAAAGATGTTCCACGGAAATGGTTGCCTCATCTTTTTTTATCAAAATTGGTTTATATTATGTTACCTTATTTTATCTAATACTTCTACTTAGTTTGTTATGTTTAAGGTATTTTTGTATGTAGAAACTTCACATGAACACGTGTTCAAAAAGGATAAGGAGTTAATTTTTTTTAAGTATATAAGCTATGAAAAAAAAACAAGGATTTCTTTGCTCTGAAAATGGTCTTATATATTCTTTCATCTTTTTTTTTTCAAATAATTACCGTGTTACATTAACTTTCCAAACGATTTATTTACGATAGATACTACCAAAAATCAAACCCTACCTAATTTAGTTTAAGAAACCAAATTATTTGTCAACTATTTTAAGTTTTAAGTGGTAAAAGTTGCTTTTTTCCTCTACAAATGAGAATTTCTGTTGAGTTTGAATTAATTTTCTACGAAAGTCATTCAGTCCCAACGTTAAATTATCTGCAAAATGGTTTAAATAAAATGTTAAATATATTCCGAACCAATTAAAAAAAAGGATTGAATAAATTCACTTTCTTGTTTTCTTTCTTTATTATTTTGTCAGTGAACTATTTAGTTAACATGTAAACACTGTTTAAACTACTCAATTTTACTATTGTTTTTGTTTAATTACTTTTCATATTTTCATCTACGAATTAGTTAATTTGGAAAACAAAACTGTACTACTTAAATAATTGAAGACAAGTATAACTTATACTAATATTTTAACACATACAAAAATTAAAAGTCTTTAAAAATCTTTCATAATACAAACAAATTGGATTTTCTTATGATTATTTTTTCTTTATTACTATATACAAATTATTTGAGTTTTATCAATAATTAAGTTTTATTGCTATATTTAATTGGTTAGTAGTTACTTGTAGTGGATATTTTATTTTAATTATTTTCTTCTGTATGTAAAATGTGAACTCAAGACTCTACTCTTTTTTTCTGTATTTATAAATGAAAATTATTTAACTTTGCTTGATAGATAATAGAACAAAAAATAAAAGCATATTGAAATTATAAAGATTAAATAATAAAAAATAGAGACGAGTGCGAAGGGAAAAAAGGAAGGTGAGAATAACAAGTACAAAGGCGTGGGACAGATATAGATTGGGCCGACAGTAGAGCCCACCAACAATGAGATGAGTTATTTAGGATCGACAACATGAGAGCTTGTTTTCCCAAAAACAATTTCAGCAGCAATGTGAAAGACAGAGAAGAAGGGGTTTTCGCGCGCCATACATATGGGTTTTGGAACTCGTTCTGCTCTTCGTCTTCCTCCCAATTCGCACTTCAACAATTTCGGTTCCTTCTTCTGCACCCAATCACTCACACTCCGCGAATCCCACCCCCAACACCACCGCCGCCTTAAAAAGGTTCAAAAACTCGAAACATTACTCAACTGCGGACGCACAATCACCGCAAGAAGGTTCCTCAAATCCCTTCTTCTCTCCAAAAGCACATTCTCCTCTCTATCTGAACTCCACGCTCACGTCTCCAAACCCATATTTTCGGACACCCTCTTATGGCTTTGCTCCGTTTCCAAAATGCTCAACGAAGCCACCGACTTGTACTTTTCCATCCGAAAAGACGGATTTCTTCCTTCCACGCGTTCCGTCAACCGTTTGCTCCGAACCCTGGTGGCTTCAAGACATTTCGAGAAAGCCCTTTCTGTATTCGCCGACGTTGTTGATTCTGGTATTCGGCCCGATGTTGTTACATACGGGAAAGCTGTTCAGGCGGCGGTGATGTTGAAGGACCTCGATAAGGGTTTTGAGTTGATGAGTTCCATGGAAAAGGAAGGAGTGGGTCCTTCTGTTTTCTCTTATAACTTGATCTTGGGTGGGTTATGTAAAGTGAGAAGGATCAAGGATGCTCGGAAACTGTTCGATGAAATGATTCAGAGAAATATGGTTCCGAATACTGTTACTTATAACACGCTCATTGATGGGTACTGTAAGGTGGGTGAGTTAGAGGAAGCTTTTGGCTTCAAGGAGAGGATGAAGGAACAGAATGTGGAGTGTAATCTTGTCACGTATAATTGCTTGTTAAATGGCCTTTGTGGCTCCGGGAGGGTGGAAGATGCGAGGGAGGTGTTGTTAGAGATGGAGGGCGGTGGTTTTTTGCCTTGTGGGTTTTTTAGTTTTGTGTTTGATGATGATTCGAATGGTGCAGGTGATCATGGTTTCTTTGATGGAAAAGAAATAAGGATTGATGAGCGAACTTATTGTATTTTGTTGAATGGACTTTGCAGGGTTGGAAGGATTGAAAAGGCTGAAGAGGTTCTGGCCAAACTAGTGGATAATGGGGTTACACCAAGCAAGATTTCATATAACATACTGGTGAATGCATATTGCCAAGAGGGTGACGTGAAGAAAGCTACACTGACAACTGAACGAATGGAGGAACAAGGGTTGCAGCCTAACCGCATTACTTTTAATACCCTCATTAGCAAGTTCTGCGAAACTGGGGAGGTGGACCTGGCAGAGACATGGGTTAAGAGGATGATAGACAAGGATGTGTTCCCCACTGTAGAGACCTATAACTCATTGATTCATGGTTATGGTCAGAGGGGCCACCTTGTCAGGTCTTTCGAGATTCTTGAGGAAATGGAGAAGGCGGGAATAAAGCCAAATGTCATCAGCTATGGTTCTCTAATAAATTGTCTTTGCAAAGATCGTAAGCTTCTTGATGCTGAGATTGTGCTAGCGGATATGATAGGTCGTGGGGTTTCTCCGAATGCAGAAATATATAATATGCTAATTGAAGCTAGTTTCTCATTAAGTAAATTGAAAGATGCTTTCAGATTTTTTGATGAAATGACGCAAAGTGGAATAGATGCAACTCTTGTGACATACAATACGATGATAAATGGACTCGGACGAAATGGAAGGGTAAAGGAAGCTGAGGATCTGTTTCTCCAAATGGCAGGCAAGGGCTGTAATCCAGATGTAGTAACATACAATTCTCTGATCTCTGGATATGCCAAGTCAGTAAACACCCAGAAATGCCTTGAAATTTATGATAGTATGAAGATGGTAGGCATAAAACCTACAATTGGGACTTTTCACCCTTTGATCTATGCATGTAGGAAGGTAGGCATGGTGGAAAGGGAGAGAAGATTTCAGGAAATGTTACAAATGAATTTGGTACCAGATCGATTTGTATATAATGAAATGATTTATAGTTATGCCGAAGATGGAAATGTTCTGAAGGCAATGTCTTTGCACCAACAGATGCTTAATCAGGGAGTTGATCCCGACAAGGTGACTTACAATTGTTTGATTCTAGCTTATTTTAGAGATAGAAGGGTTTCAGAAATAAAGCATCTTGTTAATGATATGAAGGCTAAAGGACTGGTTCCAAAAGTTGATACATATAACATTCTGGTTAAGGGACATTGTGACTTAAAAGATTTCAATGGTGCATACTTTTGGTATAGGGAAATGGTTGATGTGGGTTTGCTTTTAAATGCCAGTATGTGCTCCCTGCTAATTTCCGGACTAAGAGAGGAGGGAATGATGCCAGAGGCCCAAATTGTATCCTCAGAATTGAGCAGTAGAGGACTGAATAACTAGAAGGCTGACAAGGAAAATCCTTGCCCCATTGTTCGATGCTTATGATTGGAAAAGGACAGGTGCCTAATATCAGAGAGTACGTGGTATACGTATGTTCTACATTATCAAACATCACTTTTGCTGATATTAAATCTAAAAGGGGGGTTGTTAAACCCCTTGGCGAGGAGACGAAGTTGGATGACCAGAGAAGGGGAAGTTAAAAACAAGCTCAAAATGGTACACGACTATTCGCAATCTTAATTGCTTATTCATAATCCTCTATGGATTTTAGTTATTGATAATTCAAAGTTAAGTTTGCTGGAAACTTAAACGTATGAAAATGAATTATGCATCTTGTGAGTTTTTCTTTAACTTGCTTAAATAATAACAGTTTTGTGAGTATAGTGTGTGAGAGAGAAAATTATTGAATAAATACTTAATTAAACACGTTTACGATCAGGATCTTTAGAGACACATAATTGTTCTGTTTGTACAAGTCAGATACATACACCCTTACAAACATAGCCGAAGCTTGATATTTTTTTTAAAACAAATAGTGTTTATAAATTATATACGTAACTCTTTTCGTGTGTTTAGGAAAAAATTATAGTAAGATTACAGGGCTGGCTCCAATATGTACATGATTACTAAGGTACATCGTAACTTAAGATTTCAGTGGAGCATATTTTTCTGGTGCAGGGACATGTTTGAGGATGGTTTTCATCAATATCTACTTCAAAGAAATATCGTAGGTCTTCATCACTAGGTTAAGGATTATGCAGCTCCTGGTTGGATGACATTGTTGATGATTGTTTGTGAGGCTGAAATTCCACCATTGTTTGCCACAAAGAAACAAACAGTAATAAATTTTTGGCGCAAACAGTTTTTGTCGCACTCTTGCCCGAATATGACTAAACGGAAATGCCAGAAGTTTCAGCATGAAAGAATAAATTCCAGGCTTGTGTTTCACATACCCTAATATTGTGGCGGTTATTACGTAATTTTTTAAGGATGATATTCGAACTGCACCAGAAACTTATGAAGTTGGTAGTCCGGTGTGGTTCATTGAGAGATAGAATGACCCGGTGGAGCTCAATTGACAAGATTAACATAAAGGCCTTTGAGTGTGTTCATCGCTGGAGGTTGGGTTGACTTGTAAGCATTATTACTAGCAGAGTGATTTGTCTGATTCTATACAATACTTTTGAGAACATGAAGATATCAATCTTTTGTTAACTTGTTCATAGTGAAACGAAACAAAATTTCGGCTCCGCTTTTTCATTAATACTACTAATTTCCTTCGTCCATTTTACATCGTTTCAAAGACACAGAAATTCCTTTTACCGGATTATACATTGATAATTCGTGACTTGGGCTAAACTCGGATTCGAGGTAAAAAAAAGCTAAGCACTTTGCGTATGTGACCATGTACATAAACTCGGATCCCCTTAACTTCTAAACTATGACATCACCACTTACTTACCAAGTTCTAAATGTAGAGAGACATTCCAATTTTCCACATCTGATTTCAACATAGAAAGCGAAGCAACATACACTTTGCGAGTTACTTTACTAGTGCTGAATGACTTTGACGTTTTTAACCATCAAGAAGAGGCACATCAAAACAAGTCAAAGATTAACGATCATTAAAAGCAAATCCCAACAATCCAATGGAACAGCATCTAGAGGAAGTCAAGAAGGGCAAAACTTAGATGCAGCAACAAGATCGCTTCAATCAAATTCTAATTTTCCCATTTTCTAAAAGACGGTACAAAAAATAAAAACTCAAAGTCCTGCAAATGCCAAACCAATCGTTACAATAGCTCAACACCAGCGCAGGATTTTATTATTATAAGCACAGATAACAGCATTGAGGTCTAATTCATCCATGTTATTAGCAAAAACCTAAACCAATTAAAAACAGTAACTGGTGTGCGAGGAGAAAACGAAATCCGGATAAAGAGGAAGAAGAATTACAAAAATGGAATTCAAAGGACATCGAGAATATCCTGAGCGCCGCTGAAAGTGAAGGCACCCCCTTCCTCCAAATTGAAGAGCTTCACAACCCCATCCTCAGCCAAGAGCGCGTAGCGCCTAGACCTAACGCCCAACCCAACGGGCTTGTCGCTGAGATCGAGCTCGCACCCAATGGCTTTCGTGAACGTTCCGTTTCCATCGGACAACAACAGCACCTCGTCGTTAACCTTGAGATCGTCCTTCCATGCCTTCATCACGAAAGCATCATTGACAGAGATGCATGCAATGGTGTCCACCCCCTTCGCCTTCAGCTCCCCCGACTTCTCTACGAAACCCGGCACGTGCTTCTGCGAACACGTGGGAGTGAACGCGCCCGGCACCGCGAAAAGCACCGCCTTCTTCCCCTTCGTCAGCTCCGACACCGTCGTCGTCTTCACCTCGCCGTCTGAGTCCAGGTAAGAGAAGGTCGCCTCCGGGAGCTTGTCGCCCACGCCTATGGCGGCGGTGATGGTGGAGGATGAGGAAGAGAATCTGATGGGCTTGTGGTGGCGGCGGGTAGGAAGGCGGAGAGAGAGTTTGGACGGGAGGGTTTTGGGAGGGAGGAGAGAGACGGTGGTGGAAGAGATGAGCCTGGAGAATGTAGTGAGAGATGCTGCCATGGTGAATGGATTGAAGCGAAGAGAAGAGAGTGTGATAGCCAGGGCTCTCGCGTGACCTCAAAACAAAACTAGGTTTCTTACATGGCTCCTTCATTTTGTGCCAACTCACCTACTTTCATAAGAAATCACGCTATAATTAATCAAATGTATGGGGAAATTAAAAAGTTTTATTTTCAAGACGATAAATACATTTAAAAATAAAAATTATTATTGTTCATTTTTATCATTCTTTTTTTTGTCAAAAATTGTTGTTTGTATATTAAATTTTGTTCATACCTGTAAGACTTTTTTAATAACCATCTTTTATATTAATTGTTTTAAAAATATACTTATACTTATTTTAGTTACCAAACAATAATAAGTGTTGTAATTTGTTTTTTCTTTCGCGGGAGGTAAATAAATTATAGATCTTAGTTTTCAACATTAAAACTTCATTATTCCCTTTTCATATAGTAATTAGTGAGAGTAGTTTAATAAATAATACAATTATAGATAAATTTTATTTTATTAGTTAAATCGGAATTTATTTTATCAATAACATGGTTATAAAAAAAACTATTTTAACCTGTGTAAATTAATTATAAGTGGTTTATATTTTAAAAAAATTAATCCATTTTCACCATAATTAATAACATCGTTCAAAAACATATTTAATTAATTGAGATTTTACGTCCACAAAATTTTATTTACTTTTACATTAAGTTCCAATAAACGATAGTTTTTTTTTAAGTGCAACAAATTAATTCAATTCACATGTTGTTGAGTTTGAAGAAATAACTCTCAAAAGTTTCTGACTCCAAAGTTTACTTTTGAAAGGCTCTTCATGTTTAGGGGTAAAAATGGAAATGTATGAGCTGGAATGTAGCTATTAACATTTTTCATCTTATGGTGGAGGATCCAAGGGCCAATGGATTGGGCCATCCGTCTCCTTTGTTTTGTTTTTTTCAGCCACCCAAATTTTGTACGCAGCAGTTTACAAAATTTATTGTATATTATTTAAATTTTTCAAAAAGATAAATAATTAATTTAGTCTCTAAAATTATATCTCAGTATAAATTTCTGATTTTCTTAAAAATATTTGACTATATGATTTTTTATTTATTTCTGATCTTAAGACTTAAAATAATAATAAATGTTTAAGAATCAAAACACAAATTCAATTAACACATTTAAATTAGTCGTAAGTGGTTTGAAAATTTAAAATTAAAATAAATATCAAGATATATACATGGACTAAACTCAACCCTCAAAATCCGGTGAAATTACCCTCGGTATGTATTATTCTGGGATGCTTGTATTCACCGATGATAATACTTGCAAGTTGTAGGTATCACTAATCACACGCCCTTGTTTTTCAAACTTGGTTGCGTGCGGTCTTAGCTCCTTGTGCGTCCTTCGCAACTAGCTAAGTCAGCCTCACCTTGTTTAGGATCGTGTTCAGTGTGTGCAATTGTTTTGGCTAGAGAAAGTGGGAAAGGATATTTAAGAGAACTTGAAGGGAAAATACTTGTATTACTTGAGTACAAGAAAGCTCTCAAATGCTTGGATGATTTTCAAATGAGGGGGCCTCCTCTATTTATAGGCATCACCTCCTCTAAGGAAGTCTCTAGATCCTACAAGGGTCTTGGTCTTTCTAGACCCTTCCACACAAATCTTACTCTTTCTACACATGTCCTAGAACCTTTTACACAACTCAAGATGATTCTTGCCCTTTCTACAAGTCTCTACAAGGTTCTAGGATGTTCTTGTCCCTACTAGAAATATCTACATAATTCTGGAGCCTTCTAGAAGCTTCCAGTCAAGTCTAGGTCTTTCTAAAGGCTTCCATATGACAATAACTAGGCTTAGCGCGAAAAAAAGGCAGGCAAGACTCGTTCTTGCTCGTGTGCGTGCGGGGAGTGATGCGGGGCGTTACATTCTCCCCCACCTATTGTGGCGGCGTCCCTGTCGCCTCATAATCTTCGAGGATATCTCGGAATTGCCATAAGTCCTCCTCAAATTCCCATGATGCTTCGGATGCTGGGAGTCCCTTCCACTTTATTAAGTACCGTTTCTTTGGCGGTACCCCTCGTCTCCTTACAATGTCTGATGTGAGCACCTCATCCACTTCCTTGTCGAAAGACTTGGTTGTAAGGGGCGGTGCTCTCCGTGATTGCCCTCGACTTGGGTCTTCCACATCCTTCTTGTAAGGCTTTAACATGCTCACATGGAAGACTGGATGGATTTTGAGTGTTGGTGGGAGATTGACCCGGTAAGAAACATTCCCTATCTTCTTGATCACCGGGAATGGTCCCTCATATCTTCGTACTAGTCCCTTGTGCAAGCTCCAAAAGGTCTTGAATTGTTGGGGCAATAGCTTCACAAAGACTAGGTCGCCTTGGGAGAACTCTCGCGGATCCCTCTTTGTATCGGCCTATTTCTTCATTCTTTTACGGGCTCTCTCCAAGTATGAGCGTGCTAAGTCGGCTTATTCCTCCCAAGTTGTGATCATCTTTTCTGCCCCGGGACTCTTCCCATCCTTTGTAGGTAGGGCAATTGTGTGAGGAGTCAATGGTTGTCGTCCCGTGACCACCTCAAATGGACTTCGCCTAGTCGATTCACTCCTCTGCAAGTTGTAGGAAAATTGGGCTACATCAAGCAGTTTGGCCCAGTCCCTTTGGTTAGTGCTTACAAAGTGCCGTAGATAGCACTCTAGTAGCGCGTTTACCCTTTCGGTTTGCCCGTCGGTCTGGGGATGGAAGCTTGTTGAGAAGTTAAGCTCGGTACCTAGGAGCTTGAAAAGTTCCGTCCAAAGTTGCCCAGTGAACCACGAATCCCTATCACTGACAATACTCCTTGGTAGTCCCCAGTGCTTGACCACATTCTTGAAAAACCCACAGGCAGCTTCCTCGACAGTACAGTCCTTGGTGCATGAGATAAAGATCCCGTATTTTGAAAATCGATCCACCACGACCATTATTGACCCGTATCCCTCGGATTGTGGTAGGGCGCTAATGAAATCTAGCGTGATCGACTCCCATGGTCCTGCAGGTATTGGTAATGGCTCGAGTAGTCCCGCTGGATGCTTGTTTTCGACCTTGTCTTGTTGGCACACGAGACAGGTCCTCACATATGTTTCCACATCGTCCTTCAGTTGGGGCCAGAAGTAGTTGGACTCGAGTAAGGCTGTCATCCTCCGTTGCCCTGGGTGGCCTGCCCACTTGGTATCATGGCACTCCTTCATGAGATCTCGTCGTAGTCTGTCTCACTTTGACACAACCAGACGTCACCCTTTTGCATAGAGTAGACTGTCCTCTACCCAAAATCGTTTGGTCTTGCCTTCCTTTGCGAGCCCCATGAGTGCCTTCGTGACGGGATCCGTTCGAGCCCTTCTCGAATACGGGTAAGGACATCCCCGTCGGCTTTGTTGATGGCGGCAAGTTCAGCCTTGCTGCTTAAAGCATCGGCCACCATGTTGGCCTTCCCCGGTTTGTATTCCAACGAGTAGTCAAACTCGGCCAAAAAGTTTTGCCATCGGTCTTGCTTTGGGGAGAGTTTCTTCTGGGTCTGGAAGTAGCTAGTGGCTACATTGTCTGTCTTTATGTTGAAGTGTGCCCCTAGCAAGTAGTGGCGCCACACCCTCAAGCAATGGATGATGGCCGTCATCTCCTTTTCTTGCACCGTGTAGCGTCGTTTGGTGTCATTCAACTTTCGACTTTCAAACGCTATCAGGTGCCTCTCTTGCATCAATACTCCTCCAATAGCAAAGTTAGAGGCGTCAGTGTGAACCTCAAATGGCTTAGTGAAATCAGGTAATGCTAAGACAGACTCCTGACTCACGGTAGTCTTGAGATCCTCAAATGTTCTTTGACACTCGTTGGTCCATTCCCACGGCTTCCCCTTCCTGAGCATGTCAGTAAGCGGTGCAGCCCTCGCCGAGTACCCTTGTATGAACCACCGGTAATAGTTGACCAGCCCCAAGAAGGATCGTAACTCGGTAACTTTGGTGGGAGCTTCCCATTCCATGATCGCCTTCACCTGTGCCCCGTCCATCTGGATCCTTCCATGGCCTATAACATGCCCCAAGAAGTTCACCTCTTCTTGGGCAAAGATGCACTTGGACTCCTTTACAAAGAGCTCATTCTCCCGAAGTACCTTGAATACGGTACGTAAGTGGTCAGCGTGCTCCTTGAGCGAGTTGCTATATATAACAATGTCATCCAAGTAGACCACCACAAACCGATCCAAGTACGAATGAAATATCTCGTTCATGAGCGTGCAGAAAGTAGCTGGGGCATTTGTGAGTCCAAAAGGCATCACTAACCATTCGTATGACCCATACCGCGTAATGCACGTGGTCTTGGGTTCGTCTCCCTCGGCGATGCGAACTTGGTAGTATCTCTTCTGTAAATCCATCTTGGTGTACACTCGGGTTCCCTCAAGTCGATCAAATAAGTCAGCAATCAAAGGGATGGGGTAGCGATTCTTGATAGTTACCTTGTTAAGTGCCCGGTAATATACGCACATGCGTAGTGTTCCATCATGCTTCTTCTGAAAGAGTACCGGTGCGCCATATGGTGCCTTGCTCGGCCGAATTTTCCCGGTCTCTGTGAGCTCCTTGAGCTGCCTCTTCAATTCCTCGAGCTCAGGAGGAGACATTTGGTAGGGGGACATGGCTGGTGGCTTGGTGCCTGGCTCCAACTCAATCTTGTGATCCACACCTCGCCTTGATGGAAACTTGCTTGGCAACTCGGCAGGCATGATGTCCTTGTTCTCCTCAAGGACTCCTCGGATAAGGGAGGGCACCTTCGGGGATTCCTCCTCATGGTTGTCCTCCTTTAGTACTGCCAAGTAGGTTGACTCTCCTCGCTTTGCCCCCTTGGCAAGCTGTATCACGAAGAGTTGCTTGCTAGCACTCTTGTTGTCCCCTTCTATAGTTGGAACCATGCATGGAGAGCCCTTCTCCAATATGCAAACAATACTAAAAGATGACATTGGTGTAGCTGTTACCTGCCGTAGGA